TCCCACTTGTCGGGCTGCATGTTGTAGTTAACAACAAAGGTTTCATATTCCTTTGACAAGGAAGCAAAAACCAAATGAATCAGGAACTCATCCTTGAGCCCCAAATCCATTGGCTTCAGCTTCGAAGCCGTGTTGCTCATCTTCAAAATATGCTCTTTGATACCGCCACCAGTATATTTTTTATTGAACAATTTTTTTGTCAATGTACTAGCATAAGCCTTTGAAGAGCCAGTGAACTGACTCTCCACCTTCTTTAGGTACTCCGTGGCGGTATCACAGTCTGGGATAGACCCCCTTATAGCATCTGAGATTGTGGATTTGGCCACCATCAAACACTTGCGGTTCAAGATGTCCTATTTCTTGCGCTCAAGATCATACTTCATGCGCACTTCTGCATGATCTCGCTGCCGAGCAGTGAAATCAGCATCAGACTCGTTTTCTTCCCTCACCGGGTCCACTGGCTCAGTAGGACACGAGGAGGTGAGCGCTAAGTCATTCTCGGACAGCGCAAGTGTGAGTTTATACTTCTCTCGCCATACTCTATAATTGCCCCCTTCTAGAGGTGGTATGTGCGAGATGAATGCCATTGGGTTGAGTCCTGAAAAACACCGTCAGAGATAGTGAGAAAATATGATATTATAATTGCATGCTTTAATTTAATGTTGATCAAAATTAAAATATACAATATTCTTATACACTAATTCTACATCATCGTTGGGCAAAAATAGAATTAATGCATGGAAAACATATGATTAAACATTATAACATTGTTATTATCAACGTTGGTCAGAAAAATAACAATATTATAATTTACTGATTAAAATTAACTACTCTTCAAATTAAATTCTCCTGTTGGTTTGAATTTAATTAGAAGATTATAAACTTTAATATTGCAGCGGAAACATGAAAAATTATTTATCTACTTTTCAGAAGCATTTACTGTACTAATCTACTCTCTAAAAAATTATCCCATTGGTTCAAATTTTGACAGAGATTTAAACCGAACAAAATACATCGAAATATGCTTCTAAAAATAATAAAACAAAAATGAAAAAGTTACTGTGCAATCTGGACCGAAATTCCTGGCGCGCTGTGCACTGTCATGGCCCAGCGACGAAAATCGGCCCGCACCTGTTTGGCTCTCGCGCGTACTGCGCCTCCCAGGCCGCAACCTGGGCCTAGGCCGGCAAAGCCGCTCGCCGCGCGCGCCCGCCTGGGCCGATTGTTGGCCCATTCGCTGTTAGTCGTTCATCTGCATCGAACGGTCGCGCGCGTGGTTCGGTCGAACAAAACCCCCGGCACGGCGTCCTCCCCCGAACCCTAACTCATTCGTCTGCCTCCCTTCCTCTCTCTTCGCCGCGCTCCTTCTTCCCTCTCAACGCAGTAGTAGCGAGTGACCGAGAGCGAGAGCACAGTGGAGGATGGTGCCGTCGTCGGCCCCCTCGCCGACGTGCGCGCTCCCCAACAGGTGAACGCGCCGCCATCGAGGGGCCTAGCCGCGGTGCCCTTGGCCAGAGCCCATGCAAGACCTACCCCGCTTGGCCTTCTTCTCGCGCGCCGACGAGGCAGCAGCGCGGTGCACGGCGAGGTAGGCCTCTTCCCCCTTTCCCCTTTTTCTCCGTCTGGATCTTGTTTCGTTCTTCTCGGATTTGTCAGATTTGGGGATTAGGGTTTGGTTAGGGTTAGGGTTTCGCTCACTGTTCTTCTTCTTCCCCGAGTCTGATTCACGGGTTAGGGTTCGGCTTCACGTGCCGAGACCCGTTTCTCTTTTCTGTGCTTCACCCGATTAGGGTTAGGGTTCGGTGACCCTCTTTTTAGATCCGAAAACAAATCTATCACCTCCTTCTAGCTGCTACTTGGTTTTCTCATCCGATAGGCTAGATCTACACCTAGTTAGGCGTCTGATACCATTGATAGAGTTAAAGCAGGATCTCTAGGCATAAATCTAGCATGTCTACTTGTACTTTGAATAAACCATGAGTCCTAGAAGCTTCTACTAGTACTGGATTAGAGATAGAATGAGAGAGAGGGGTGAAGGGGTGCAAACCATCGGCCACCTTGGATGAAGATGGGCTCGCCATCGTAATGCTTGGCGATAACCCGGTGGTGGTGTTGAGTCGAAGGGCGGCGGTGCAGTAGCATCGTCGTCCAGGGGTCGGTGTAGAGGTCGTAGGGCAACCCGGCGTTGTAGCAGCCCTTCGGTGTAGATGCAGAGGCGGTGGCGGCGCTTCTCGTCGCTGGCAGCGCCCCCTCTGTGATCGGTTAGGGTTTAGGACTGTAGGTGGGGTGCTAGGCGGCTCAGGCGAGCCTCATGCTCGGCGCCCCGGCCCTCACCTCCTATTTATGGCGCTGTGCAACGGGAGCCCACCAACCATATTAGGGTTGGGCGCCCCCGATCAGGGCGCGGATCCAAGGGCCCACAATTTATTTGTAGTTTTTTTGTCCTTAATAAGGTGAATCAATAAACGCGTGTGTGGGTCAACACTGTATAATTTAAGGAAAAAGTTACATAACCCACTCATGTTTGCCCCTGTATCTACTTCACCCCCTAAATTATGAAACCGTTTATTTAGCACCCTAAACTTCTCCAAACCACGCATTTTACCCCTTCCGGGGGTTTTGGCGATGTGGCAGTCAAGCTGCTGGCGCTTGGGCCCACGTGTTGTAGGAAGGGAAGGTGATGCGGAGGCACTGCCGCACCGCACGCTGGTGTCCTGGAGCGCGCGCACCGGCAGGTCCTGCTGCTCTGCCTGGGCCATGTGCCCACCATGGTGTGTCCTCTGCATACGGGACCAGGAGGCCGTTGTGCCGGGCGGCCACATCGTTTGGGCCACCGGCCGTGGCGACGGTGACGCGACCGTGGACCTCAGTCAGCTCCTCATCGAGTATGCCAACACGATCGTGTCGCACGCCATACCCGGCAACAAGAGCGCGCGCAGGCTATTTGACAAGGGCGACTCCGGCCATCGGAAGAGGAAAGGTGTTCACAGCCTGACTTCCAGAGAAGCTCATCGAGACGGCGCCGATCAAGGAGCTGCTGTCGTGGCTAGGCTGGGTGAACGCCATCACCAGGCTTTATGAGATAATAAAATATGACAAAAGCTATACCAAAAATAGGTTCACGTAAAAAGTGCGTATTGGTTTGCGTAGAAATGCCCGTTTTAGTTTACGGAAGAGTGCACATAAAATAACAAGAGGTTATTCATGTTCAAGCCAGTTTCAACAATACCATTATAACCGTTACATACCCATAAGGTCAGGTCGTTTTCTGGTCTCCGCAGGTACTTGTGGATTCAAAAGTTCAAGATTCGTACAGTGGGTTTGCAACGAGCAGAAGTTATGGTAAATGGTACTAGTAGCGAAAGAGATGCCGCATTACGAGCCATTGCTAAAAGTGGTGCACGGTTAAGTTGTATACGCGATGTACGCACCTATGCCGTATAATAGATGTCGACCTCTAAAAAAAAAGACGTTTGTAAAAAAATGAAACCGCTTTCAAGAGAGGTGCCTCGGGGCTGATGGGATTATGGACGTTGTCCCCGCACGAACCATGACCGTAATAGAAAACACTGTTCGTCGCTGAAAAAGTTCACCTCATAACACAAGCGAACAAGGCCTGAAACTAAATCTCTACTCCTCGCCGCCAGGCTGCTGCCGTACCCCCACCGCGGCACCGCGCCTCCCTCCGCGCCGCCAGGCCACCGCTCTAAGCGCCGCCCGGTCCCGCTGCCCTCCCCCGCCGGGACTCCCTCCGCGCCGCCCCGGATGCCTCCATCCCGGCCGCAGCCGCTTGGAGCGCAGTCCGGCCAGCCGCCTATCTCCAGGACATCCATTCCGCCTAGCAGCCGCGAGTCCGCCTCGCCATCCGCATCTTGGACCTCCTGTACTCGATCCATGGCACCCTCCCACAATCAGTAGCTACGACCTCGCCTCTGCAGTCCAAGTCCCCTCCTAGGTGTCTGGCGGAGAGGGAGGTGGTCCGAGACGATGACAGGACGCTGTAGAGGAGAGGGGAGGTGCACTGCCGCTCGCCCCAAGTCGCAGCTGCCCTCCGCTGCTCGACGCTGGACGAGTGGCCAGGAGCGACTTGACTCATGTGTGTGTGACTCGTGCAGTCCGGCTGCGGTGCATGATGCAAGTCGACTCCAACCTAGCACCAGGTCTCTGCCCTCTGACCTGAAGATTTGGGAAAGAATAGTTAAAAGAAAAGTCAAGCTAATCCTATGAAATGCTATATACTGTAGCTATGAACATCTATCAGATGAAGAGTATATTGCATATATCCTGTGACTAAACAACAAGTAATCAAATTTGCTCCTCAACTACTTGAAAGTGCCAGCAGAAAATGCTAAGTTGTTCACATAGTTGGGTATATCAAGTGATTAATTAGAAAATGCTGGGCATTATAGCCAACAATCCAAAAATCTAATAATAAAAGATTACCAGGTTAGGTATTTGAATGTGCATTCTTGAGAAACAAAAAGGGATACAGTGCTGCAAGTAGTTTGTGTCGCACTGTGTTGTAAATATGATAGGAGATATTTCCCCCTGCAAGTAAGCTCAAATCAAAAAGCCATGAAGCAGTTTTCAACTAATTAAAAACTAGATTGCAAGTTCGCAACAGTTAGATAGCATGGTTTTGAATTCTGATCCAAATACAGCTATCAGAAACATTCAAATTCAGCTTTTTATGAACATGGCTAACAAGTAACTACTATCAGATGAATATGGCTATATGCTTTCAAGCATGCATAACTGCATCCATTATGTTTCATGTTTCTCAGTAAAATCTAAGTTACTTTTTGGCTTATATGCCAATTGTTTTCTGCAGGCTCTTGTCAGACTGCATTCCAATTAAGCAGAGGAAGCGTATACCCTATTTGATCATTTCTAGCTGCCCTTCTCTACTTCCGTGGCTTATCCTTGGACTATCACAAACTTTAAGGAGCTCAGCCAATATGCTTACTGCCTTGCTTGCAGTACAGAATCTGGGATCTGCCATGGCAGATGTTGTTATAGATGCAATGGTTGCGGAAGCAGTTCGATCAGCAAGGTAGGTTTCTTGATGTATCCTCTATCCTGTGTCCCTATTTGGCATGCTGCTATGGAGTATTGTGAAAACCTATTAATTTTCTTTCCAGGCCGGAGTTTGCTGGTGATCTACAGTCATTATCTTGGTCATCGATGGCTGTAGGTGGGATATTCGGGAGCTTGCTGGGAGGATATGCATTATCCAATCTCCCAATACATGCTATATATGTTGTTTTCTCAGCCCTCCCATTCTTGAAACTAGTTTCCTGTATGTTTGTTGAGGATTCTCCAAAAGGATTCCACAGTGCAAATGATGAACATAAGTATGTAGACAATCAGAGTTCTGTTACTGCCTTTTCTGAAAAAGGCTCTAGTGAAGCACTTAGATACGAGGGCACTAGAAGGCCCGAAAGGGAACTCGTAAAAATAATAAAAGGAGATCACTGTCAAAGCGAACTGAGTCTGATGAGAAACACAATGGACCAATTAATTTCTTGTTATAGATGCAATGGACCAATTAATTTGTTGCCATGTTTGCCTTCTTCAGTCTGTGCACAGCTTTTAAGCAGCCAAACATTCTGCAGTAAGCAAAGATTCTTTTCCTATATTTTGCCCATTGTATACCCCTAATTTGATAGAAGGTACTAATTGTTTTTTTTTTATTTTTCCAGGCCTATGGCATGGTTTTTCTTGTCAAATGTAACAATTTCAAATATCTCCACAGTCATGTTCTATTATCAAACAGAGGACCTAAATTTGGAGGTATCCTTTCTAGGGACTGCACGTGTGATTGGGTGGTTCAGTCTAATGCTTGGCACCTACACCTACAACCGCTATTTTAAGCAGAAGAAGCTCAGGAATATTCTTGTGTAAGTAATCCATTGAAGTTTGTGTGTGTAATAGTTTTCCTTTTGTCATCATGTCCATATGGATTAACGGGACAAAGTAGCTTTACTATAAGTACATTATTTGTCTTGACAAATATATGGTTATTGTACTTGAATAAGTTGTCACCCTCTTCTTTTCTTGGCTAAGTTTCAACTCCTTTGTCCAGCACCTGCCTGGTTCCTACATATTTGCACTGTACAGGTTTTGTCTTCTTTTCCTGTAACTCTCTTTCTCTTTCTTTTTATAATAAAATAAATTGCACAGTAGAGGTCTCCCCTACTGCATTTCCCCTAAAAAAATTGCACGTGTGCATTAAACTGAATGCGTGTTGGATTACATCCCCCTTTTCCTTTATGTGCATTATGCTATGCTTCTAAGCCACAGCTGGTCACATTTAGTTACTATTAAGCCCCTTCTAGCCCAACTTTGTTGTTTTGGTAAACAAATAAGGTTTGTAGGTTTTGTTATTAGTTACTCTTGTTCCAAGACACGAACTAAACTTTTAGAAGTCATTGGCCACAGTAAAAAAAAATGTAAATATCTATTCAAAGCTGTTATGTCCGCTGCTTTTAACATGTGCTGTTGATTTTTCCAGGTTTGCTCATGTCGGTCTTGCGGTAATTACCCTACTGGACATTATTTTGGTGTCACGGTTACACGTTCAGTATGGAATTGCCGATAAGTACATGGTGCTGTGGGGTTCTGCTTTGGCTGATGCAATCAACCAGTTCAAGTATGCTTTCTTTTAGTTGTGAACTAAGTAGCTCTATGGCATTTGATCTCAAACCATTTGCAAGCTTCTGACAAGAATGCTTCGGTTTGGCAGGATGATGTCGTTCCTGATCCTGTCAGGACAGCTTTGCCCACCTGGAATCGAGGGCACACTGTTTGCTCTTTTCATGTCAATCAACAACCTTGGTTCAACATTAGGTTCATTCCTGGGGTCTGCTCTGGCATCAGCTTTGAACCTCACCACAGGGCAGTTTGACAATCTTGCTCTAGGTTTGGGAGTACAGATGATTTGTACTCTCCTACCGATTGGGTTCCTATCTCTGATTCCAAAGGAAGTCACAGGACTAACATCATAGGTTGAGGGGTGCGGGCCTGACCATACTTATTTTGTTCCTGTCTCAAGGTAATGGTCTGCGCTTGAACCTCAAATTCCTGACTCAAGCCACATATGTTACAGCTCTGTACCAGAGTGAGAGGAATATACGCATCATAGGAAGGAAATTAAAGATAGTTGGAAGATAGACAGTTTTGTTGACAGATGCATACAGCTCTGTTCCAGGATGAGAGGAAAGAAGAGTGCAATAGATTTTTAGGCAAAGATGAAAGTTACTTGATGCTGACAGATGTTGATGCTACTTGACATGTGTAGAAATGAGAACAAACATGAAAGTGATGTTGCTAATGAATAAATCTGTTCATGTCTTTGGTTTTCATTAGCTGCGTTGTGCATGTGTTCCGAAGTGATTTGTGCATATACTCCAAACTTGTTGCTATAAATATGATCATTATATCCATTGGAACAGTGAAGACTGTTTCAGACGCGCTCGTGCTTGGAGGTCTGTTCAATTAAGTTGAACGAAGAACTAATGTATCAAACAAGTGAGTTGCTCCATCATAGAAACTCAGAATACAACAAACACACACCCTTCCTGGTTCATATTCATCATGAGCAATCTGTTTTACCAGTAAACATCCCTAGTGCTATTATAAAACAAATAAATCCACTCGAGTGTCAACCGGGGATTAGCATGTACAATTCTAAATGCATTAAAAAGAATCACCCCTGATAAACTAATTAGCAAGCATGCAAAGGGTGATCAGCTAAGTAAGAATGGGCATTGACCTTGTTCAGGCCATGGGATCCAGGAGAATGGCAGTGGCTTGTACTTGCTGGCAGCACATGCACTGGTGGTTTGACTATTTCTTATACCTTCCATCAAATCACAAGGCAATGGTTACACTTCAGTTAACTCATCCAGACACAAAAACCCTAACTATATAACTGATTTAATCACTACGCGAGAGCAGCTTACATTGTTATGATTTCAAGGATCAATGTAAACATATAAGAGCAAATGGAGTTCACTGGATCTGAAAACTTACTTGTATCTGACTTCCCTCCAAGAGAGGATCTGCGTTACATAGTTGATGGTGGTGGTGGGATACCTGTCAGTGACTGTCTTCTCCTTAACCTAATATCAGCTGTAACTGGGGAGGCAATATTATGGCACGCGTTGGCTGTGATTTTAGTTGGAGTCCCTTGTGCTGAATGTTGCGTGTTCCTGCAAAGTTGCAGAAACAGGAAGGCTGTTATCATCAGTGGGGAGGCAATATTATGGCACGCGTTGGCTGTGATTTTAGTTGGAGTCCCTTGTGCTGAATGTTGCGTGTTCCTGCAAAGTTGCAGAAACAGGAAGGCTGTTATCATCAGTAATATGTGTCACAAGAAAAAGCATGTATCCTAGGGCGTACCTTCTTTCAGTGCCGTGAATCAATCTCCCTATGCTGCTTTGAATTGACTTCCTTAGATGAGATCCTTTCTTCACTGCAGTACCTGTCATTATTTTATCCAATTTGGTGGTGGAAGAAGGAGCATCACCGCAACTCAGTTTAGGCATAACGTTGACACCATCATAGCATCGACAAGAAAGATAACATAAAGCGCCCGTTCTATTAGAGCTGAAAATTTGTGGAAAATGGCAACATCATAAACCAACTTTAATTTAAGCAAAGATTTGAGAGCACACTATCAGACAGCATAAACAATAGGGATAGAGTACAGACAGGTGAACAGACATGCACTTCTAGACTCAACATGTACACGACACATAAAGAGATAGATAAGAGCAAAACAGGTGACGTGTGAGTATCAATGGCACACCTGAATGTGCGGGGTCCGCGGAATAGGATGATTGGAAACAAAACCCTCTGCTATATGGAATCATAATTGAAACGAGCACCGTCATAAATTTGATTGCCTGGGTACCGGTTACAGAAAGGCCAGAATTTACTTGATGCTGGAAATCTGCTGCAGCAACAAACACAGGACTAGCAGCCTGTTTTTCCATATGAAAACAATGGAAATTTAGCAAAAATGAGTTGGAGGCTAATGAAAGTATCGATTGAGCAAAAGCATCTATGGATCAACCCATCAGCAAGGGGCAAGAATTAACTGTGCAGGAACTCTGTGGAATTACCTCAAGTGGTATCTTCAAGAGATGGACCATGGCAACTGCAGACTCCCAAACAGCTAGCAAACAACCACTACGAGACTCGTCGGGTTCACTTGGCAGATCCTTACCCCAAGAATAGATGCAATCTGATGGTTCCCGAAGCTGAGAAGTGAATCTATTTGAATCACATCATCGAACATGTGAGATGTATCAAACAGCAAAGCAACAGAGTATCAGAGTTGTGCGAGCTTGGAAATAATAACAGAGAAACAAACACGTACATTTGAGCACCTAGAAGTACAACGAACATTTTTATAGCATAACTCGTAAAAGAAGGAAGAAAGGGGGATGACAGTTGAAAGATCATAAATTCGTACAAAGGTGTGCATATACAATGATCAAATAACAAAAAAGGGACTATCATTGCATGAGTCTATTGTATCTATCTAATAGCCGTACAAACCTTGGAAGTAGGCAGGTCATCGTCGGATTTGAGGTATCTAGCATAATTCTTGTCAGCCAATATCATAGCGCGCAACTTTTCGTACGAAAAATCCCTAATTCTGGGAAAGTTGTTGTGAGGCATTGCAAGACAACCTATATCTAAGCTATCCAGGTACAACACCTGCAGAACAGACAATATTGATATTAGCTGAGTTCAAAAGTAAAGAGAGAAAACTAGAACCAAAATGAATGAGCAAATATAAAGTTTGTGATTCATAACCTGAAGAAAAATAGAACAACCAGTGATGTTTGGGAACTTTATATTGCTTGATACATCCTGCTTCAGTTTTGTAACTGCTTCAAGCAAACGCATAATGACATATTCAGACCAGTCATAAGTATTGATAGAATCAGGGTCTTGAATGGCGTTCTAGTGGTCGATCGATGCATAGTCATACTTTGCCGATGGAGATAACAAGTTAGAAACAACAAAGACAACAAAGGCAACCCTGAAGGTGTCTGCCTCTTTTTTGGTCATAGGGCAGGGATAGTCTCGTTCAATAACATTCTGAACTAACTTGATACTCCTATGATCCTTGAATTCAGACCCAGGAACTCCTGCAAAACCTTCTCCTTTGCTTCACGGTTAGAAACTCGCATATCTAAAACCCTCTTGCCTGACAAAGGAATGCCGATGACATGCCCAACATCAGTTTTGGTGAATCTGATACTAATGTGTTCCCCAATATTGAGAGTGCAGGACTCCTCGTTCACACAGCTCATAGCCACAAAGCAAACTTCCGATTGAACTGCATGATAGGAGGAAAGTGCAAAATACCTTGAAACCCAATGGATTTCACTAGATCTCTCTTCTGCGAATCAAACTTGGACACAACTTCGTGTATTAGTCTAACTGAACACCGAGATGCAAAGGAACCACATTCAAACAGAGAACTATCCACCGGGAACCTTGAATCATACTGAAGACAGGAGCAACTTCGGTTCAGGTAATTCTTTTGAAGTCTTGAAAACATAACAACTCAAAAAGAGCGACAAAATAGAGCTTAAATGGCTCTAAAATACATATATTAGGAGTGGTATTTACAGAGTAGAAAGGTGATTTTGGACGAGCAGCGTATGGTTATAAATTAAACATTTTCACATGGGAGTTCAGACAAATACATATGGGACGTTCGTGATCGGCAGATAAAGGTCATGCAATTTGCAGACAAAATGTAATTGGGGGAGGGGAACACTATGTTGACCAAACAATTGAGGGGGACTCCTATGGGGGTCAACTTTCGTACTAAATTGACGAGGGAGAAAAAAGTGCGACAATAAATATTTAGAAATAGTCCTCAGGTCTGGATGGAGATCGGGTGTTAGGTCACGAACCTGTTGATCCTCTATCGACGAGATGTGATGATGATTGGGGACAAAATCTGAACCGACTCCACGTGTAGGTTTCCGCCCAGGTGAAGAAGCATTTTTCAATCGCTTGCGGCGACCTCTCATGGCACAAAGGAGAAAAAGGGCATCAGCTCCGTTTCCATGGATATTAAGACCTCGTTTTGTAGGGTTTCACTTTAGCGGTGAATCCATATTTTTAAGTTCTACTATTTTACTTTATCGTTTGACAAAATGGCTCCAAACGAGCAGAGGAGAAGCGAGAGAAATTTTTTTTTTTGGTGGAGAAGGGCTTCAAATAAAGTTTATTTCACTTTATCCCGGGCAAAAATTCAAACTACTCCCGAATTGTATTGAAGCCCACCAAGCGTTTAATTGTATTGTCAATAGCGTTTTATTGACGTGGTAATATATTTATTGAAAATAAAGAGCAAAAATCATAAAAATCGGATAATCATATCTACACGAGAACCAAGACATGAAGGGACGTGATTGGTAAAGAATGGAGAGAGAATATATATGATTGATAAAAATTGTTATGCAGAAACTATCCATTTAAACCATGATTTTTACATGTAATGTCTATGAAATTTATTAGGTATAGAAATTATATGTAATTTTTAGTATTGGGATTGCCCTAAGATAAATACAAGCTGCTTCGGATGGAAGAATGCAGTAAACAAGAACAGTGAATGCGGATGCGAAAGAGGAGGAACAGTACTTTCAATAAATAGACTGCGCCTACTATTCCGACGGAAGCAAAACGGACCAAAATTACGGTAACAGTGATGACACCAAACAAACCGTTATGTGCTAATTTAAGCGGAGAATACATGCACTTGCCTTTCCGTATAACCGAATCTCAAAGCAGAATGTGTGGTAGATGAGAGGGGGGACACATCAGCCCCGAAGCACACAAACTTTCGGCAGGAAGATCAGGCGGACGTTTGAGACGCTCGACGGGTGGCTGGACATTTGCGGCGGCGGTGACGACGATCGCCAGAATTTCGTGGATATGTTGCTGGAAGTGCATAGCGGGACGTCGTGGAAGA